TTTTAATTTGACCAGAGAGGGACAGATAGGGAGAGAGAGACTGCAAGTTGCCAGGTCCAGGACTTGAACTGAAGTTGGCTATGTGGGAGTCCTGTGCCCTTAACCACCACACCAACTGCTTGGCCCCAGCTGTAGATTTTCAAAAGATGCCTTTAATGGAAGAAGTTCTCTTCTATTTCTAAAGCTATAACACTCCTAAGTACTGCTTAAGCTGACTCTCACAAATTTTGATGTTTTTATTACTATCCAGTTAAAAATATTTGCTATTTTTTCTTGTGATTTCTTCTAAGATCTATACATTATTTAGAAATGACTTGCTAATTTCCAAGTAGTCAAGAGTATTTCCAGATATATTTTTGTCATTAATTTCTAATTGAATTCTATTGTGATTAGAGACAATGCTCTGAATGAGTCCAATCTTTTTCTGTTTCTTGAGGCTTGTTTTGTGGTCCTGTTTATGGTCTATCTTGAAAGAATGTTCCATGTGTACTTGAGAACAATATGTATTCTGCTCTTGCTGTATGTCATTTTATAGCTATCAATGCAATTAGGTCAAATTGGTCAATACTATTGCTCAAGTTTTCTGTATCTTTACTGATTTTCCTGCTGTACATTCTATCAGTTACTAAAAGAGGAATGATAAAATCTCCTAATATAATTGTGAATTTATCTACTTGTCTTTCCAGTTTTGTGAGATTTTGTTTCACATTCCTTGAAGTGCTATTACCGGGTCCATAATTATTTAGAACTGATAGTCTTCTTGATACTTTTGAATTATGATGTCTATTAACACCCTGAAGTTTACTTTGTCTGATATTAATATAGTCACTCCATTTTTGTGATCATTGTTTGATTACATATTTTTCCCATGCTTTTAACTTGTGTCTGTCTTTTTCTCTGTGCATATGTATGTATAAAGTTTATAATTAATTTCTTCCATGTGAGAGAGATAGAGAGACTGAGGCAAAGAAATGGGCATTCCCAACACAGTCTTCATGCCATAATCCACCCCTGGGCCAGTCCAGAACATGGGAATGCACACCCAGAATGCTCAGCATGATCAGGGAGGCCCCAGGACATGAACCCAGGACCGCTCCCATGTGAGTTTGGTTTCACTACTGCTTTGCGACCACCTGGCCACTGTGTCTTCATATTTAAATTTGTTTCTTGTGGAAATTTATAGTTGGCTCTCAATTATTATTTGGTTTGACAATCTCGGTCTTTTATCTGGAGTGTGTAGGGCATTTATATGCAAGTTTTCATAATTGTGCATTCATTTAAGTCTACCATTTTGCTATTATCTCATCTGTTCTTTGTTCATTTTTTCCTCTTTTTCTATCTTCTTTTCAATAGATTTCTTTTCCATTTTATCTTTAGTCCATATATTATCTTATTAGCTATATCTAAATATTTTTAGTGGTTACTCTAGAGTTTACAATAGAAATCTTTAACATATAGTAGTCTCCCTTGAAATACTATGATAGTGACCATGTATGATGTAAGAACCTTACATTATATGTACATTTTCCTCACTCAACCTTGTACTATTCTTTTGACATATTTCAATTCCATGTATTATAATATCCATAATATACTATTACTAATGTTTAAATAATAGTAAATAATAATCCACAGCTAACATTATACTCAATGGAAAACAAGATAAAAGTAAATACTTTTGCTACTTCTGTTCAACACCATATTGGAAGTTCAAGCCAGAGGATTTAGACACAGAAAAGAAATAAAAGGCAGAAAAAATGGAAAGGGAAAAGTAAAACAATCTGTTTGAAAATGACACTGTCCTATGTGTAGAAAACCCTGAAGAGTCCACACACACACAAAACTATTAGAGCTAATAAACTAATTCAGCAAAGTTGCAGAATACAAAGTCAACAAAGAAAAATTAGTTGCATTTTTATACACTAACAATGAACAATCTGAAAAAAATTGGGGCCAGCAGATAGTGTAGTGATTATATCACTGGACTCCCATGTGGCCATTGGCAGTTGAGTCTTGGACCCAGTGGCTTGAAACTCACTGAGCATGTGTGCATGTGGTACCAAGATCCTGGGAGGAGAATAGAAGAGAAGGAATTGTGGCATAGCCATCCCTCTGGCAGGTGATTTCTCACTTCCCTCTTACTGTGACTGTCTCTTTCTCTCTCCTCCAAACACACATACCCTAAGGCAAAAACCTCTTAAAAAATTTAACAACTCCATTTACTGAATCAGCAAATGGCATAGTGGTTACATTGCTGGAATCCCACATGGCCAACCATGGTTCAGGTCCTGGCTTGAAAATCATGCTGGGCACCTGTGCATGCATGCCCAAGATCTCAAGAGGAGAAGGAATTGCGATGTGGCTATCTTCCCCACCTCAGGGGGGTGGTGGTGGATTTCACACTTTCCCTCTCACTGTCTCTCTCTATCTCTCTCTGTTGAATGCACATGCCCTAAGGCAGAAACCTCTTAAAAATTCCATTTACAATAGCATCAAAAAGAATAAAATGTGTAGAGATAAATTTAAGCAAGTAGGCAAATTCTTATATACTGCAAACTATAAAGTATTGCTGAAAAACGTTAAAGAAGACATAAATAAATGGAAAGATATTTGTGTCCATAAATTTTAATACTTAATGCTGTTAAGATGACAACACTACCCAGTGATATATGAATTTAATGCCCCTTTCAAAATCCCAATATAACATTTTTATAGAAATAGGAAGAAAACATCCTAAATTCATATATAATAGAATCTCAAAAGATCCCAAATAGCCAAAGCAACCTTGACTCTATGTTAGAGGATTTATATGTCCTGATTTTAACACTTACTATGTTATAGTAATTAAACAGCATGATATAATATATAATGACAGACATACAGACCAACGGAATAGAAAGCCCAGAAATAAAACTTTGAATGTATTCTCAATTGACTTTTAATAAGGATACCAAAATGATTCAGTGTGGGAAAAAAGTCTTTTCAATAAACGGTACTGAGAAAACTATATATGCACATGCAAACTAATGAAGTTTCTTGTATCATACACAGAGAATAACTAAAAATGGACCAAAGACTTAAACATAAGAGCTAAAACTAAAACAAAGAAGCAAAACCAACAAAACAGAGACAAGACTCATCACATTGGATCTGGCGATGATATTTGGATATGACACCAAAATACAGGCAACAAAAGAAAAAAAAGAGACAGACATTGGACTTCATCAAAATTAAAAATGTTTGTATATCAAGAAAGTAAGGAGACAGTCTATAGAATGGGAGAAAATCTTGCAAATCATTTAGATAGCAAGGGATTAATATTACTATCAATCTAATTGAACCTCTAGCTTTAATTTCCAATTTATAGAATGATGGAGTAGAAGAACATTAATATGGCTAATCAGGCAGACAAAAACAGAACATGAGACTTTAAAAGATAAATAACCTGATAGAGCTGTTGTGTATAATTAAAAACAAAACAAAACAAAACAACCCTGAAGAGACAACAAGAAGCAACATGTAAACGTGACTGGATCCTGGATTGGAACTGGAGGTGGTGGTGAGGAGAGAGCTTTAAAAGACATTCTTAAGATAACTGGGAAAATATGAGCCTACATATTAAGTGTGACAACAGTATTGTGGTTTTACAGGAAAGTTTCCTTATGTACATGAGATGCAAATTGAAACAGTTTAAAGAGTTAATATGTTCGACGTTTACATTTAAATGTTTCTGCCAAAAAAAAAAAAAAACAGAGAGAAAATGTAACAACAATGTCAACAATTGTCAAGTTTCAGTGGAAGGCATGTGGGTGATCATTGTATTATTCCTTCGGCTTTCCTACAGATTTGAAAATTTTCAAAATAAACAGTTTGGAGGAAAAAAAATCTGTGGGCCATTAAATAGGAAAAAAAAAAAAAAAAACTGTGGGCCATTAAATAGTACAACTTAAAGTGGCTACAATGGTGGTGTAGTAGTTAAGGCAGCTGGATCACACATGGCTGATTGAACAGTTTGAGTCCCTGACCTGGCAACTCAAAAAACATGCAGGGCCCATACGCATATGTGCTCAAAATCCCAAGAGGAGAGAAAGAGGAGAAAGGATTATGATGTGGCCATCTCCTCTGGGAGGTGGTTTCTCATTTTCCCTCTGTCTCTCTTGGTTTAAGAAAGAAAGAAAAAAACATTCTGTGGATGGGCTAGCAGGTGATATAGTGGTTAAGTCCTGGATTCCCATGTGGTCAACTGTGATTCAAGTACCAGGTCTGGTGACTTGAAACTCACGCAGGGCACATGTGCATGTGTGCCCAGACTGCTGAGAGGAGAAAGGAGAAGAGATTGTAGCATGGCTACACCCTCAGGGAGTGATTTCTTGCTTTCTCTCTCTGTCTCTCCAGTGAACACATGTGCCTTATTACAAAAATCTCTCTCAAAAAAAAAATCTGTGGGGAGCTGGACAGTGGTCAGGTGTTACATGTGATGCTCTTCAAGATAATCTCACATGGAGAGAGTCCTGGTTCAAATCCAGAGACCTCCCTGATTATACCAGGCAAATATATACCTGTGATCTGGCATTGACCGAAGGCTAGGAGTAGATCACAGTGTCAAGACCCTGTTGGGGATGCTCTATTTTTCCTTTTTTGTACATGAAAAACATAAATAGATAAACTTTAAGGAAGAGCTGTGGGTATCTGGCACTATGAAGCAACTGTGGAACTACTTGGACTTTTCGGACTTTTCTCAACCGCTCCATGCTAATCAGCCATGATGTCAATGGTCACCACAGTTACATAATACCATGGCAGGGGTAAGTGTTGTTTCATGATGAGACAGAGTTAGGAGGAAACACGGAATCTTTATGCAGAATTGGAAAAAAGGTAGGATAAGATAAATTTGTTACTTTTATACAATTGTTATTATTAACTTTAGAGTATGTAGAAATCATGATAATTAGGCCAAAAGTCAGATATAGCCTCAAAAGTAAACCAAAATGTCCATATACCTGGGTTGATAGATGGAGGAGGTGGAGGTGGGAGAGGCCGGCCTTCTTTAATGGCTAGTGTACACTGCTTTGCTGAACGAATTGCATTAATAAAGTCTTCATGTTGTTGTCTCCAGTTAGATTTTCTCACAGGTTGAGGCTGTAAAAAATAAAATGAACAAATACTACCCTAGACTCTATCCTTCTCAATTATAAATTATTTTTTTAAGTTGGGATTTGCTTTTATTTTATTTTGTTTTTGTTTGTTTGTTTGTTTGTTTGGCGGGAGAGGTTTCTGCTATAGGGCACATGTGCTCGCCAGAAAGATGGAGACAGACAGAACGCGAGAAATCATGCCGCAATCCCTTCTCCATTCTCCTCTCGGGATCTTGGACACACACGCACATGTGCCTGGCATGAGTTTAAGCCACTGGGTCTGGGACTCGAATCGTGGTCAACAACATAGGAGTTCAGCAACATAGCCATTACGCCAAAGTTGAGATTTGAATTTAAAGAAAACAGGATTGTAAAATCTGGAAAGAACAGGGAATTTATTTTTCAAAAGAAGTACTGAAAGATTTGAAAAATACAGTAATAAAATTAGCAAGTCACAGTGGGACAAAACACAAAATAAAATTCTGAAAAACACAGAAACTATTAAACTTTAAAGGAAAATAAATTTAAGATTAAAACTGAGTTTCTTTCCAAGTTAATCACCAGATTTAAAGTCCCTCTAATGAAAATATAAACAAGATCCTTTTTTAGCCACATCTGGAAAGTAACTCAAATATATTTGGAAATCTAAGTGGGTAAGAGTGTAAAGGAAACGAAAAAGGTAGATTATACTTACATGATGTTACACTGCACCATTAAGCAAAATGAAACCAGGAAGCCCATAAACAGGCTTAAATATACTTACAAATATAATAAGTAACAAGGGAACCAGCAGTTAGCGTAATGGCTATGTCGCTGGATTCCCACGTAGTCGACCGCGGTTCGCATCCCAGACCTGGTGGCTTAGAACTCATGCCGGGCGCGTGTGTGTGCGTGCCCAAGATCCTGAGAGGAGAATGGAGGAGAAGGGATTGCGGTGTGACCATCCCCCCGGGGGGGGTGATTTCTCCCTTCCTGTCTCTATGGCTCTGTCTGTCTGGCGAGCGCACGCGCCCTATAGTGAAAACCTCTCAGAAAAACAAACAAAAAACAAACAAAAAAACAAATATAATAAGTAACAAGAAAGAAGAGCTCAATAGTACCTTGGCTTGAGGAGCCTTCCTCACAGTGGGGATGTCAGTACCCTGTAATCTTTGCTTCAAGGAATTGAAGGGTTTACGCTTTTTGTTGAATAGTTTTCTACATATTGGTCCATGTCTTTGCTAGAAAAGAAAGGGTGAGAATTGAAATTTAATGCCCAATTACAAAGTTTTTAATACCAAGTCTTACTTAGTCCCCAGATAGTGACTAGGTTGCACTTTTAGAACCCGGTTCATTCTTAGATCACAGAGCAAACCCATCAGGCTCTCTTCACCCGTCGCACCTAACTAGATATTGTGTTTGGGGCAAAGACAATAAGAGGCCTTTACAGCTACCCAGTGATTCAGTTTTAAGTATTAATTCTAAATAGTTAGAGGGCAGGATGCTCTTTGCTCCAACCAGCAGTCCTCTAAATACTCTACATTTCTGGTAAAAAAAAAAAATGGGGAACTGACACATACAGCTTGCCTATGTACCATCTTTATGAAGGTTGTTACTGTACCCCTATGGGAATGCAGCAGCATATCAGTTCTCTTCCTTTGTAGACATACATATAACAGCTGTCATTTACACAGTTGCCTTGAGACCCAAAAGAATACAGGCTGTATGAAATTTACTGTACCTGGTGAAGAATAAGCCATCCGTATTAAACTAAAGGAGAAGGAGGTATCAGATCACATGATCAAATGTTCTCTGTAGCCCAGGGATATGCTTAACAAGTGAAATTCAAGAGTACCCAGGACATACTTGACATTTAGTGATCCCTCTTCAGATGGTACCTTCTGGGTCTCAAACCTATTCTTGGGGTGTACCACTGGGTGGCCAAAAGTACTGGTGAACAAGTGCCACAACACATGGGAATCCCATGAGCTCCTCCTAGTTTTAGGAAGCTTTAACCACAGTTATCTAGAAGAACAGATATTTTATTTAAAAATAATTCTCAGAAATGACCAGCTGCATAGCTTAGAGGTTAAGGAAGCTGAATCTCACATAGCCAACTGAGTGGCTCAAATTCTAGCCCCAGCAGCTTGAAAAACATGCCATACATGTGCAAGCGTGCCCCAAATCCTGACAGGACTGAGAATGGAGGTGACTGCAGGATGACAATGCCCTATTGGGAGGTGCTTTTCCCTCTGTCTCTCCTCATTTTCTCTGGAGAGTGCATATGTCATCTGGCAATTTAAAAAAAAAAAAATCCTTAGAAAAACAGAACCTACAACTTCATTTTGTCGTCTTTTGCCCCCAAATGTAAACAGGCTTATAGTTCATGTTCTTTGATATGTCTTCTTGATCTAAAATGTCCCAACTAATAATTACATTGTCATCTTAGTTTATTTATTCTTAAATTATCTTTCTTAGGAATTCCTTTATATATTAAGACCTACCACCTGTTTGGTCCCCTAATTCTGAAATATGTCACACTTTTCTTCAAGTATACAGGCATCAATCAGGGGACTTGAATCAGGATAACAATTAGGCCTTGGGAAAGGTCTTATATCCCTGTATTACTTTGTTCAAATAGTATAAAATTCCTGAAATTGGAGGGGTTTGTGTACGTGGCAAAGCAAAAAACAGGAAGGTTAAAGGACTTGTCAGAATTAGTGACAAATTTGCGGCTAAAAGCCAAGTTTCCAGATGCCTGAAATTCAATGCTCATTCCTCTTGACTAGCTAATTTCCCTGGTGCTTTGGCCTTGAAATTTGAATTTTTGATGCTTAAAGAAAAGATGGAAGAGCCAAAACCTCTCAAAGGATAGTCAACCATGCCAAGACACTTCCATCTGGCATCTTTGTCTGGGGACCACATTTACTAGTGTTACTGTAGAACAAGGTGGCACCCAACGGCCTCATTGTCCTCTGGTCCTGCCAGCCATAGGTATGGACTTCACTTCCCTTGCTTCCCCGCCACATCTGTCTTTAATCTTCGCACTGCCACCTCCTCACTGACTTGACAGTTCATTTAACTCCAACGAAACACATCTACAAAATGTCTTTATGTTTACCAGAACATCTGCTGCAAAGCGTCTTCCACAGACTTCACAGGGAAATAACTCCTGATTGCCATCTGCGTAAGATTCAAGAGCACATTGTGTTAGTTTCATAGGATTGCCTGGCCGAGAAGAAATGACTGACTGGAGGTGACCTCGAAAACTTGATATCATTCTCTTTTCCCTTCCCACCAACTGTTTTCTCCTCCTTCATAAACACCCGGTGTTTTCCCACGCTAATGTAAACTTCTCTCTTTACTATACAAGTAAACCCATATATACTCCAGGAAACCAGAATATCATTATTTAAAACATTATTGAAGTGTCTGATGGCTTTGCTTTCAACATATTACAGGGTTAATCCCTTAGTATGAAGTCAGAAATGACCCAGTGGTAACATCTTGAGGATTCCTGCTAGAACGTAAGTTCTGTGAAGGCTATAACTGCCTGCTGGACCTGCACTGCCACAGGGCACCTGACCCATAGCAGGCGCTCAGTAAGTCCTGGGTGAAAGCACGGGCCAAACAAAGATTGCGTTTCTACCACCGGACCAGTCATGCACTCTATAAATAATAGGCTGTCAGGAAAGTCATGATGTGCTTTTTTATGCAAAAATGCATCATGACTTTCCCAACGACCCAATCATACCTGTTGTATGCAACTCTGTGGAAATATTATGAGAAACCATACAAGTGCCCAGCACAGAAAAGGAGAGAAAGAACATAAGCAGATAAATGGCATGAGAAAAGCAAAATAGGATGGAATTCTGATAAAAAGCTTCGCTTTACATTCCTTCCTTCTGGTTCCTCTGGCATTTAAAATGCAAAAATTAAAAGAGCAGTTTGCTGAGGCTGGACAATAATACAGCCATAAAGTGGGATATTCTGAGAGGTTGACCATGTGGGAAGGTTAAAGGTTCACAACATCCAGAGACATCCCTGAATATGCCAGGCACGTGTGTGCCCATGATCTTGGGCTGGCTAAGGCCCAGGGTGGATGGTTCCATCAAGACTCTGTTTGGGGTGCTGTCTGTCTCACTCATGGGCAAAACAAACTTAAAAAGACAAACAAGAACTCACGGCAGTTTGAAGCCTAAGCATGGAGATTTTATACTAGACTAATAGTGGGATTTACTGTACAAGCAAGGGGAGCAATCGGGGAGACAGAATTGGAAGACTTCAAACAGAGCTGTGAAAATTCATGTGAAAAAAGCAAGGAGGGATAGGGAGATGGTGAAAATAGGAGAACTTAGTTAAAAAGCTGAAAGTGGAGGCCTAAAAAAAAGAAAAAGAAATAGGAAATATTGCATCAAAGAATCTATAACAAGACTAGATTTGTGGGGGGCTGGCAGGTGGCAAAAGAAGAATGCTTGAAGATTCTGTGAAGGTTAGTAGCAGAAGAACTGTGAAGATGGAGGGACTGTGGATGGAAATGGGGAACTTGAAGAGAAAGGCCATGTTAGGAAGAAAAATGACCTCAGCCTTGGAACTACTGAGTTGAAATAAGAGTCATCCAAACAGCAGGATGGAAATGAGGGACAGGGTTAGGGACACAGATGTAGACTTTGAGGAATGAAATAAAAGCATGATACTGCCAGGGAAGAAGTCATGGAAAGAGAAGTACAGAGATGATCCTCAGGGAAACTTACATTTAAGGGCCAAGAAAATGATGATGATAAGCCAGAAAGAAAACTAGGAGAGAACAGGGTCATGGAAACCATGGAAGACAATTTAAAAAGGAAGGCCTGATTAACAAGAAGCAGATGGTAGCTGCTGCTACAGATGTTGTTGATTTAAACGACTTCTTTTTTTTTAATGTACATTTGTTTGTTTGTTGTCACTCTCAAGCCACTGGGTCCAGGACTTGAACCATGGTAAGCCATGTGGTAATCCAGCACCTTATCATCCACCACCTGCTGACCCTTTAGATGACTTCTTGCATTCTGCTAATTGGTACTACTTTTTCTTTCTTTTTTTAAATTTAACTTTATTTATGTCTTTATTTACTGTTTTCTTGTTTGTTTGTTTGTTTGTTTTATGTTTTTAATGTGACCAGAGAGGAACAGAGTGAGAGAAAGTGTGAAAGCAAGCCGCCAGGTCCAGGACTTGAACTGCAGTTGGCCATGTGGGAGCCTAGTGCCCCTAGCCACCATGCCACCAGCTGGCCCCTGGTATTGTATTTTCAACGCAGATCAGCCATCATAGCACAGGAAAGTACAGCTATTCCTCACTTTATGACCTACCTGTTTTAACGACCAGGCTTAGGACCCTTTCCCTAGCTTGGGGATTCCTCTTTCTCAGTCTGTGTGTCTCAGGAATCCCTCTTTTCTCAGTTTTTGTCTTCTTTCCACATTGGGTTACTATTCATCACATGAAGTGTTCCCAATCATCCAAGACTACATATTTTCATTTATAAATTTGTACTTTATTGTGCATCCATAGTGACTGACTCTGTAAAGCAAGGTCTTAAATACTTTTTTCAGGGGCCAGCAGGTGGTATGGTGGTTAAGGCACTGGACTTCCACATGGCCAACTGTGGTTTGAGTCCTGGACCTGGTGGCTTGCTTTCTCATTTTCTCTGTCAGTGTGTGTGTGTGTGTGTGTCTCTCTCTCTGCCATGAGCACACGTATCCTGTAGCAAATTTTAAAAATATATAAATAAATTCTTTTTCATTAAGGGTACCCCAATCCTTTACATACTTGTAACAAAAACTACTCATTCTGATTATAAAACTACTGCTGCATTTTCTAAAACATGTATGAAAGATAATCTATTTTTATGAGTAGTATAACATTTGTATGTACTTTTCTATTCCCTCAATGCCTTTCCTACATTATCTCATGTGCTCCTCACACAGTTACCATGTGAGACAGGGTTAGTAACATTTTTTACTTTACAGATGAGAATATGGGGCCTCAAAGTTAGGTGACTTATAGACTCAAATCAGAGATTATAACTCTATAAGGATTGAGATTATTAATTAAACTATCAGTGTAACTATAGATAGTTGTGTCAGTACTAATCTACAAACAACTAAAAGATTATAGAGGTTCAGAGAACTTTGGTTTAAATCAGTGAGTTTTAAAGAGTTCAATGAATTTAAAATAATGGCATGCAATATGATCAGTTCAACATTTGAATATAGACCATATTCAACATGGAAACTTGATAAGAAAGAGGAGAGGGAACCTCTCTGCCTGCTCAGCTGAATTAAACATGAAGATCAATAAGGTCTAGTGTTTTGTTACCATATGTTAAATCATATGAAATATGTGGTAGTCAGAACCTTAAAAGAAACAATACTGCCTTTCAGTCAGTGAATGGGTTAACAAGCTGTGGTATGCCCCTATCCTGGAATACTACTCATGTAATAACGAACACTATTGATACATACAACCACCAAGATGGATCATATATGTGGAGTAAAAAAAGCCAATCTCAAAAGGTCACAGTGTATGATTTCATTTGTATAAAAATCTCAAAATGACAAGATGGTGGAAATGAAAACAGATTAGAGACATCAAAAGGTAGGGATAGTTTGGGGGAGAAGTAGCTGAAACTATACAGGTAAAGTGAGAGAAATCTTTGCATATGGAATAGTTCTATATCTTCATTGCAGTGGTTACAGATGTTATAAAATGTTCATAGAACTATGAACACACATTACAGCAATGTCAATGTCCTGCTTTGGATATTGTATTGTATTACAGTTATTTAGGATGTAACTTGGGGAAAAGTGGGTAAAGGGCACGTGAAATCTCTCTCAGCTATTTTGCAACTTTTTGTGAAACTGTAATTATGTCAAAATAAAAAGTTTAAAAATAATACTTAAGGATGGGCAAACAGTGGCCAGTGGGCCAAGTCTGGGGCTGCATACTTTTGTTAAGTAAAGCTCTGTGGGAACATAGTCATGCTCATTTGTTTCTATAATACCTTTTGCTTCTTTCACTTTACAACAGACATCAATGGTTGTAACAGAGACCATACCCAGTGGCTTGAAACTCGGTGTGTGTGCATGTGTGCTTAAAATCCTGAGAGGATAATGGAAGAGAAGGCGTTGTGGCATGGTCATCTCTCCTGGGGAGGGTGATTTCTTGCTTTCTGTTTGTCTCTCTAGCAAGCGCACATATCCTATAGCAAAAACCTGTCTCAAAAAAAAAAAAAAAAGAAAGAAAGAAAGAAAAAAAATTATTTGTGGGAAGATTTATTTAAAAATAAATACTGGAGAGAGACAGGAAGTGACTGCTTTTAGGCGGTATGAATAAAGGTGATTATTCTTCTTCATCTTCCTGAATTTAAAAATTTTTACAAAGATTATACATTATTTTAAAAATTAGAATGAGAGACTTTCAAAAACATTTTAAAATCCCCTTTGATAGAAAATGTTCTAAAACAATGAACATCAATTTAGCTATTTTTGTCATTTCCTTCTTTATTTGGAATCATACTTCATAAACTGCTACAGTGGCTATTTTTTAAACATTTGTTTATTATCTTCAAATTTTTTGAAAACAAGGAAAATATAGTTACCTGAGAAGGATCAACCCTTTTGCCTAGCATGTCCAGAATAAGAAATGAACATTACAACGATCTCAATTTAAAGCTTTATAAGAAGCATGGAGAGAATCAAGACTAGAATGAACCTGAAGACAACCCCAAACCTCTGCTTCTAACCAGACATTCTCTTTCTGAGCTGGAGGAATGCTTTGTAAAGAACTACCAACCACATTTCCTTACAAATGTATAGTAGAGGAAGAAAAAGGAAGACATTTTCTCATTAAGATGTCAGCAAGTAAACCCTTCTAAATTATTTGCAGTCCAAAACATGCAAATATTTAGCAATATTAACATCGTCCACAGCCCACATGATAAGAGGGTGGCATCAAATGGCCTCAGTGTTATCTCATGAACATGAGTCCATAAAACAAGAAAAGGAATTAAAACTAATGGGCTATAGGATGACAGAACACGAGTAATTTTGCTTTCTCTAACCCCAATAGTAAAAAGACAAGGTGATATAGAATCAGAGAACTCTAAGGACAAAGAAGAAAGGCAATGACAAAAAAATCTGGACTCC